TTGAAATTTCATAAATATTCAAATTTTATCAATATTCAAATTTTAATATTTACGATAACTACATAAAAAGTTAGATCATTTCATTTCTAATCTAGAAAAAAAATAGTCCCTGAAGAGGTTAAAGAATACACAGGTATTCACGTGATCGTTTATATCAATAGGTATCGAACACGGCACCGAATATCGTAGCGTTTTACATTCCGAAGAACACTATATCATAGCATAAGGGTAACGAGTGGTAAGATTTTTCATCGAATAAAAAATTCCATCGGTAGAATGGGTGAATTTTTGACAAACATTTCTGCGGATCCTAGCGAGAATCCTAAACTTGTCAGAAGAAGTTTCGAGCAACTTGCAAAATTTAAAAAAAAAAAAACGGAGAGAAAAAAAGTAGAACAGAAAAATCGACGTTCTATCGAGAAAAAGAAAAAGGAAACAGTCTGAAAGAGTGCTGCACTTTCTTCACGAGGAATCACATGCATCGCGGAATTTCCAAAACTTCTATCTACCATCCAACAATAAACTATCAACACAATAAAACATTAGTAATAAAACACTTGAACAATTTTTGCATATCATAAAATACAAATGAACTACAAAAAAAAAAAGAGAGAGAGCCTGGAACTATAAAAGTGTCTTCCTAACTCAAAGAAGAGAAAATGAAATAAACGGGGTGTGCTGAGGTTTTTTCAAATTCAAATTAGCACTTCATTCACAACTAACAGAGAGAAGAGATGCAAGAATTTTGAGGAACGTTGAAATTTGAGAAAAAATTTTCTTTCTTTCTTTCTTTTTGAAGAAGAAGAAGAAGAAGAAGAAGAGACATTGAAATTTGAGAAAGTTTGAAAATCCAAATTATTAGGTTCCATATTCAGCCGGGTTGTGAGCTTACCGTATCGCGTTTTTGTACATACATGGTTCAATACCTTCAGGTCGGCATCATAGGGCAGAGTTTTGTCCCAGAGATTTGGGCCGAGGAAGGCGGCCTGCGCTTCCACGTTGCCCCATATCTCTCCGTCAGCGTCCTTCTTCTCTTCCGGTCCATCTTTGCCCTGTTTTCCTGCAAAATAATCGTTTCACCTGCGTTAGCCTTTAAAAGTAAAATTAGAAAAAAATAAAAACGTGTAACTTCTTGTGTGTCGTTTTTAATTTAGGGAGAGACCAGTTTGATAGCGATTTTCAAGAATTCTCTTTGGCTAAACTAGCAGAGATATCGTAATTCTTTTTCTTTCAGTAGAAAGAGACATCCTTAGACTGTTATAAACAAATTTTGTTCCATACAATTTTTCATAATTTTATTGCAAATTTTACACTTCAATTTAGCGCCCGTATATGCGATTCGAACTTAAAAAATTTCAAATATAGTCGTTCTTCGATAGTCTACGCGTGTGACAAGAAGAAAGAAAAATCCTCGGTTGAATTTCCGAAGAAATGTACATCGAACTGAACGAGCGGCAATTTTGAGAAGGATATTCTTCAGATGTACAGTTTGATTTGACGCGAAGAAGAGAACAGGTCGATTTTTCGACACGTTCAAACTGAACTCTCCCTTGAAAGCGTTCCAACTATTCTCAACTGTTCTATTATTTTTTTTTTTCCACCATAGGTGAATCCTGCACAAAGTGTCCAACTTTCACGCTATTAATAACGCCCATTATTCCCTGGAAAAAAAAAAGAAGAGAATCCTCCATCTCTCTATTCAGCTAGTCTCTTTTATCTTCGTTCTCTCGATTACGATAGAGAGAAGAGGCCGGGCCTCTTAGAATACGCGATGACACACTTCCTCCTAGCGCGTCCCGGACCGCTTTTGCACCTTTTTCCCTTCACAGAGGAGGAAGAGGAAGAAGAAGAAGAAGAAGCGGTCCGTGGCCATCAGAAATTGCTTCGTGGAAGAAAAGAGAAAGAGGAGGAGTGCGGATCAGTCGGTGGCCTTGGAGATGCTCCTCCAAAAATAGTGAGCCGACCCAGCACAGCTTCTCCACCTCTGTTTCTTCTCGTTTCAACGCGCTCCTTCCGCGTTTTTTCCCCCCTTTCGACGGCTATGTTGATTGTTCCCCGTGATACACCTTCTTACATCTGACTATTCTTCCATTTTTACAACTAATTTAGCATCGTTACCGAACGTATCTTTATTCTGTGTATAAAGAAGAAAGTATCGATCTTCGATGTTTTGATTTTTTAACTGAATTTCAGTTGGGAATGTTGTTTTTCGAATGTTTCGCTGCAATTTCCTCGCTTTCTGAATGACGATTTTGAGAAATAATTCATTCCTGGAAGGTGTAATCGACTGAAAACACGGGAGTATCGATCTCCTTCGATTTCTTAATTAATTTTCGTCGGGTACGTTATTTCTCGAATATTTCGCAATAATTTCATGGTTTTCGTGATTTTTGGGAATGGCGATTTTGAGAAATAATTTATTTGCAATAGGTGTAATCTATTGGGAATCGTCTGGGGTGGTCGAGCATGCTTTGAAGTTCAATTTCGAAGACGTGCGAATTTTTATGGAAAAAAAGAAGAAAACACGGTTGATTGATTATTCCTAGGCAACGATGAACGCAACCTTGGATCAGCGAGCTTCGCGTAACAATGGCCGATCGGCGGTATGCCAGAAATCCCTGGAGAAGCCGGTGTTTCTCGTTCAACTCAACGAATTCGCTTCATTTCACTTTTCTAATTCTTCTCGAATTTTCTTTTTCTATTAATTCTACACGCCAAAGAAATTTCATCTTTCCAATCTGCTTGGAACACAGTTTCCTTCTTTTCCCGAGCTCTTCACCTTCAATATTTCTCCCATTTTCCTTCCACGAACGACAGCTATAAAAACAATTGTCAGATTCGTCGTGGGTCGTTAATGCTTCCATCAAACGTCATCGTTAGACGTTCCACACGAGCAAAACCGTGCTTTTTCTATTTTTTCTCCTCTATTCTTTCCTCCCTCGCTCTGTCTTTCGAACGGCTGAATGTGCGGTTCAAGTGCGACGAAACCGCATTCAATGGTTATTATCATGGTACACCGCGTGCCAGCGAGGTCGTGCCGCTACCACACCACTCTGTGATAGATTTCAACGAACGTAATTTTAATATTCACAGACGGAAGAACCGTCGCTGTCCTTACTTTTCGATCGTCCAATTACTGGTCATTAACTAACCCGATAACTGAGAATTCTGAACAAGGAACTAGTAGATACAGCTGTGAAACAAACGGAGAAACATTGTGAATTTTAATTATTTCTTCGATTTGCTCGCTCTTCTATTACGCGAAATTTACGTAGGAATGTTTATGGCGTAATTATTATCAGTATTTTTAATGCAATCTTGAAAAAATGCAAGAATCCAGAAGTCTCTATCTTATCTACCGTTTCCACACCACACGCACAGTGTGGATAATGTTTGGAATCTTCCGTGAAGTGTCGAGATATTTCTTTTCTCTTTTTTAGAGGAAACTTCGTAATTTTATCTTTACCTTCGTCGAGTGGAAAACGAAACACGCGGGTTTACAATGTTCGAGTTGAAAGAGAGTGTAAGTGAATCGGTTGTGTCGACAGTGAGAAAATTTTATCGACGGAACCTAGGGCGAAACAGTGTGTTTCATTGTATAGAAGCTGTTGAATTTGCCCGGAGGATTCGAAGAAAGTGATTACCGACCTCAATAGGGCAACTCGTTGACGAAAATAAGCCAGCTGGATGGTCAATTGCAAGATTTACCGAGCGTACTTGAGCAACACGTTCGATTAATCGATCGAATCATCGTGATTTACGAGGGAGCCAATTATCGGGTCGTCGTGCATAGTAATTCGAGTATTTTTAATAATTTAGCGGGAAAATCGAAAAATCAGCCGTTAACCCTTTACTTTGGGAAATCCTTTGAAGCATTTACCGAGAAACGAAGAATGTTCAAATCTTTCATCTTAAAGTTGAACTTAAATTTGTAGCGAATCTTTGTTTGGAAGTGGAATTCTCGTTTTAGAGCGCAATTTTTACGAATCGGTCATTTACCCTTTACTTTACAAATTTCACAAATTTTGTTTACGTAAACACTGAGAAACGAAGAATATTCAAATCGTCCAACTCAAAGTTGAACTTAAATTTGTAGCGAATCTTTGTTTGGAAGTGGAATTCTCGTTTTAGAGCGCAATTTTGACGAATCGGTCATTTACCCTTTACTTTACAAATTTCACAAATTTTGTTTACGTAAACACTGAGAAACGAAGAATATTCAAATCGTCCAACTCAAAGTTGAACTTAAATTTGTAGCGAATCTTTGTTTGGAAGTGGAATTCTCGTTTCAGAGCGCAATTTTTACGAATTGGGCGTTAACCATTTACTTTGCGAATTTTGTTTAACCAATCACCGAGAAACGAAGAATACTCAGATCTTCCAGCTTAAAGTCCTACTGAAATTCATAGTGAATCTCTATCTGGAATTGGAATTCTCGTTTTGTAAGGGAACTCTTACCTCCGTTTCAGTTGAAACGTGAGAAAAGGTGGGGGGCTGGGGGAAAGGGTTAAATGGGTCATTTTTCCTTTGGAAAAATGCCTGAAACGCTGTTGAGAACGCTGTTGAAAGGCCTAATAATCATACGGAGAGCGCCGGGTTTCTCCGTGCAGGCCAGCTAAACAACTAAACAACGACAGCTCGCAATTTGGTTCAAGGCTGACGGTCGTCGCCAGCTCTGCGGAACTAATCTCGCGTTGCGTGGCAGCTAGAACGCGAGCAGTAGCCGTAGAATATGGCTGGAAGAGAGGGGAAAATCGAGTCGAACGAAGGTGAAGAAGAGCAACGACGGTGAAACACGAGAAGAAACCGTGTGGAAGAAGTGACAGTAACGAGGGAAACTGGACGGATCCAGGAAAACCTGATTGCCTGGACAATGTGGCGTGAATTTAATTGACGAAACGAGCTGAGACGGTCATTTTTCAGCTAGTTTCCTTCCGATCTTTCGAAGATGTTACAGAGAAAATTGATTCGAGGAATACTTTATTACAGTACTTGGAAAAAAAAAAAATGGTCATTCTCGTACGAAGAATTTCTTTTCTTCGGATTTCAATGGAGTGACGACGAAATTCTTAAAATGATGGCGAAGAAATGGAGATGACGAAGATGAAATATATTTGCTCGTATGATATATTGTGTTATTTTACACAGTGTATAAATACAGATCTTTGAATGTATTATAGATTATCTAATAAGGAAATCGAAAGTGTCCATTGAAAGTGAACCATCTTTATTCACCCTAAATTTTCTTCTAGAGTTAATGAAAAGGAGAATTAACCAAAAAATACAGTTTAAAATAAGAAACAAAAAGGGTTATTCAAACTTTGTTCTAGAGTCACTCAGAATGAAAATTGAAACATCAAATAAAAAATACAATTGGAAATACGGTGGAATCGAAGGTATTTGAACCGTTTGGAATGGTCCGCGAATGGAATTGACCGAGTTCCTGTTCGCGTGGCGGGCACGTAACAGAAGCGGAAGTACCGTAAAGGGCATTTGTCGCGGAGTAAGCTCTGAATCTGGCCAGAGACGATTTCCGTTAACGGTAGAACCAGTTCTTCACTCTCTGCTTCTACGTTTATACCGAGAGCGTGCGTCTAATTACTACGTTCCCTGGCTGGTCTCTCCTCCTCCTCCTCCTCCTCTCTCTCCTCTCCGCGCCGCTTCTTCTCCGTCATCCCGATTCCCCCTACAAGATATTCCTTTACGTAATCGACAACACGCGAGCGTTTTACCTGACTCAAGTACGGAATGAGTCACATGTGTCCCGGGAGAGAGAAAAAAAGAATCGTGTCGCCGTAGAGTCGTCTTCGCGGTAATAAAAATCAGCGTGGAATAAAATCTCTGACCATGTGCTTGCGTGCTGGTCCTTTTAAATCGTTCAGGGAGACTGATCAACGAGGAATTTCTTTTTTGGGACATTGTTCTTTTGCAATGTGTTGGATGGAAATTTCTGGAAATTGCTTCGAGGATGTTTGTTTGGGAAAAGGAGAATTTTTGAATGAAATTTTTGAGGATTGGAGGAAGAATTTTGGAACGAAATTTCTGAGGATTGGAGGAAGA